GCACTACAGATCTTAGGCTGAGAGCTGAATGGAGGCATTTGAGAAATCCTGTCCCTCCTGTATTAATGGAGAACAAAAACCCTACTTTGAAACAGTTGAGGGCATGGGAACTCATTTGAAAGGACAGAAGGCTGACTTTCTCATGGAAATGAGCCTTCGTGTGAATTTTAGTTTATTGTTTCTGGAGGTCATTTTTGCCAAGTTGCATTGTCACAATCATGGACAAGAAGCAACTCCAACTCAAATGCGAACAATAAGAGGTCCTGAAGCACTTGCATAATTTAAGAAAAATAAAAACACAAGAGAGTTAAATTTATATTAATCTAAACATTGAACATTATATTAAGGAACAGGATAAACCCCTCCCCCCCCCTTTTTTTTTAGAATAAACCTTTTAACATTCTATGACATTTACATTGCTTTAGTTAATAATAACAGCTACCATTTTATCAGGCAATTATTCAACATCACCATGATCCATTTAATTTTCACAACAACCCTATGAGGTAGGTATTATCCCCTCTTTATCTGACGAAGAAATGGAGGTACACAAAAGTTGAATTACTTCCTGGAAACCACACAGCTAGTGACTGAGGTCCCTACTTCAAATCAACAGCATGTAAACTAAAGACATCTCAAGGGTTCTGAAATAAGTTTCTAAAAGACCAAGTTGTGATAGTGAAAACTTTCAGAATGCCACAGGAAAATAAATCATCATTCTAAAAATAAAAGTTGTATAATAACAAGCATTGCCTTTAGGCTAATGCTAGAAACAGCTTTTGTTATTAATTTTTTCAAGAAACTGTGAACATCTTGAAACAAGTTTTGGAAATTTTCATCAGAATTTGGTTAGATTATCATCAAATGTTCACCAAGCTCCCACTAGGTACCTTCTACTGTGTTAGGCACTGGAATACAGAAATCAATAAGAAGTAAGAAACAGTTCTTGCTCTCAAAAAATTCAGTGTGGTGGTAGAGGACATAGGTACAAGGACAGACCATAATACAACATGGAAATAACAGAGTGAGGTGTAGGGTAACACAGAAAAGTGAGGACCGGTGCCTAATCTAGCCAGCAGGTGGTAGGGACATTTACTGGAGGATGAGCCTGCGGCAGAGGGTGCTTAGGCACAGGTGCAGAGGCAAGAGGCAGTGCAGTAGCATGGCAGAGGTGGGCAGGGTTCAGATCAAGCCATATATCAAACCACTGAAGGGTTTTAGGCAGGGAAGTAAACTGCTTAGAATTATCTTTTAACTAAATTAAAGGATGGACTTAGAGCCACACAGCCATAGGTTCAACTCCTGGCTCTGGGGTTTACTAGCTGTGGAAATTTTGGCCAGATATGAAACCTTTTAAGCCTTGGTCTCATCAACCATAAGGAGAGTAAATGAGAGAATGCAAACCACTGGAACACAGTAAATCTTCAAGACCATTGAGGAATATTCAGGAAACAGAACTGACACAACTTGATGACTGCCTGGCGTTGGGGGTGAGGATATGGGAGAGGGCGGCACCAATGCTGAGCCCCAGGTCTAAGGTGAGTGACTGAGTGGCTGGTGGTACCCATGAGAAAGAGAATGTGGGAGGCAGAACAAGTCTGGGAGTCTAGGCCACACTGAAGAGGACCAGGAGCAGATACCCAGGAGTCAGTGGACAATGGGTCTGGAGTCTGGAATGCAGGTGTGGCTTTAAGTTGGAGAACTGGGAGTCATGAATATCTAAGAGGTAGCCATGCCATGAGAAGGGAAGAGATCACTCACAGAAGGTATGTTCACTCAGAAAAGCAGTGGGCTAGGACATAACCCTGGAAATACCCAGAATTAAGGGGCAGAGAAAGAGAAGCCCCTAAAGACAGAAAAGAAATAGCCAAAGGGCAAGAAAAAGTATAACGGAAGCTAAAGGAGCAGGATCCCAAGAAGGAGTCATCAGTGGTGTCCAGTATAGCTGAGAAGTCCAGTAAGTTCCAAACGTGTTCATGGAATTTTACAGAAACTGCTGCTGATTTTAGACCAAAGGGTAATTTTAGTGGGGGGGAGGAAGCAAAAGCCAGGCTGAGAGGTTAAGGTACAAATGGAGTGAGGAAGTGGAAAGAGTACAAACTGTTCATAAATCTGGTGAAACGGATGGAGAGGAATTATGTAGTAGCAAGAGGGGAATGCAGGTCAAAGATGGGGCTTAAAACTTTTAAGATGGAGCACTCTGAGCATTTTGTGGGCTGAGAAAGAAAAGGTAGCTATGAGAAGGAAAATGTAGTTGACAAAGTGTGATGATGCAAGAGAGAGAGAATCACTGACGGCACAAGGGCCTTAAGGAAACAAAGAAGAATTCTATTAAGTATCTGCTGTGTATGTCAGGCACCACGCTAGGCCCTGGGGACACACAGGTGAACAAGGCAGAATGAGCCCTTGGTGAGCTCAGAGTTTGATGGAGAAGCATAACTTGTCAACAAACCATCAGAGCAGAGTGTGACGTGGGCACAAGTCCACAGGCATGCAATCTGTCCGAGAATCTTAGAGGGAAGTGCCCATCTGACGGCAGTGCCTTGAAACCAAGTCTACACCTGTTCACCTCTCTCTTCCCACTGCCCAACAATGTCTGGCGTCTACCTGCTAGGCAGTCAATAACTTGTTTGGTATAAATACATAAATATACTTGTCAGAAACTTTATCTCCAAGGGTAGAAATTTTCTAAAGAGGTGTGAAAATAAATTCTAAGACACAAAATGGGAATTTTGGTATTAAAAATACAATTAAATATTAATTCAAGTAATAGCACACATGCTCAGAAAACATGCTTTGTATACAAGACAGCTGAAGGTTAAGAGAGTGGGGGAAGAACAGGGATATAGGGTTCAATCCTATGGAGAAGGCCTGAAGTGGTTTCAGAACTCTCTCTGGCCAAATATGGGGTGCAAACAGTTTGCACTCCACTACGAACTGAAAGGTTGGTGGTTTGAACCCAACCACCCAACTGTGCACAGAAGAAAGGCCTGACAATCTGCTTCTGGAAGGTCACAGTCATTGAAAGCCCTATGGAGCAGTTCTATTCTGAAACACATGGATCACCGTGAGTCAGAACTGACTCCATGTCAACAGGTTTTCTCGTTGTTTCCGTCTGCTAGCTTACACATAAAATTCATTTTTCATTTAACCATTCAAGAAGGGATAAAAGGTTTCATTTCAAAGTTGGAGATAAAGGATTAACAAGGAAATGTGTGTAAGATTATGCATCAACCGAAGTCATTCATCATAAAACAAAGGCAGTCAGGCAGACTCTGGAGTCAGGCTGACTTGGCTCCAAACTAGGTTCCACCATTTTACTGGCTGTGTGACCAGGACCAGGCTACTTAGCTCTTGCTGTGAAAGCAGACCATGTGAGAGGTGAGTCTCCAAGTCCCTTTCAATTCTATTGTTCAAATATCACACACTCCTCAGAGAATCTAATGAAAGCTATGGATCATACCTCTTCCTCAAAATAAACATAGAAACATGCAGACAAAATTCTGCAAGTAATTTCAGGAGGGTGTCCCTGAACCCCAGGTAAGAAATCCCCAATTGCAGACACTCCTGAGTGGGAACATAGCAGAAATGCACCTCTTTGTAATAAAGATGCTTTGTTTTCCTTAAAAGTAATGGAGCCAAGTATCACTGTAATCTCTGCAAGACCCACAGCGGACAGTTTGCTGTGTCTCTACCTATGTGTCTGTGATGGATTGAATTATGTACCCTAAAAATATGTGTTGCAAATCCTAACCTCTACGCCTGTGGTTATAATCCCATTTGGGAATAGGCTCTCTTTGTTATGTTAGGCAGGATTAGTGTCGGGTATATTTTGAGTCAATCTCTTTTGAGATATAAAAGAGATTAAATAAGTGAGCATAGCAGAGATGGGGGAACATCGATGCCAAGCCACATGAAGATCTCCAAGGAGCCAGGAAACAAGCTGAAGAGATGAGGACCTCCCCCCAGAGCCAACAGAGAAAGCCTTCCCCTAGAGCCAGCGCCCTTAATTCGGACTTCCAGCCTCCTAAACTGTGAGAAAATAAATTTCTGCTTGTTAAAGCCACCAACTTGTGGTATTTCTGTTACAGCAGCACTAAATAGCTAAGACAGTGCCCTTCTGAACTATGTCTCCTCATCTTTGAATTCCCCAGTGCCAAGGGCAGTGCCCTTAACATAGTGAGTATCCAGTTAATTTGTGAATTAAATTGATCAGGGCCATAATGATTTGGTTGCATATTTCTCAATAGCTCTGAATGAGGATCAAGTTCAAATCCTCCCTTCGAGAAACAAGCCTGGAGCACACAGCGGCCACTACATGCTTGCTCTACAGGGGCCATCAGCTCTTCTGAAATTTGCTTTTTGTTTAATTAGAGGGGTCTAGATCTGCTTCTAAAAGGTCACACCCTTGAAAACCCTACGGAGCAGTTCTACTCTGCACGCACTGGGTCACCATGAGGTGGACTTGACAGCAACTAACAACAACAGTCACCCAGGCTAGAAGCTTCTGTCTCAGTTCCAGAGCAGAATGACGACTCTCCCACCAAAAAGAAAAAGCAAACACGTCTGTTGTAGTAGAAATCGCTTACATTTGTATAACCCTTTTTACTTATACTTTTCCAATCTCTCTCACATACATTAAATAGTCACCTGGGAGGCAGGCAATCTATGCATTACTCCCATTTTAAAGATGAGCAAAGAGAATATAACATTTACATGCTCACAGAGAGCGGTTTCAGTAGAGCCCAAAACCAGACCCCAAGTCACATTTTTATAAATATGCTAGTGTTTCTCCATTACCCTTGTAACAAGAAGTGCTAACATCTAAGTAGTATCTATGATTTTAGAAACCGAAAGCCATTCCGATCTGAGCAATTTTATATATAATGATTAAATGGTTTTGTTTTCTCAATATTCACTAAGAATCAAGCCTATAATCTATGACTGAAAACAAAAAGCAGACTCCACTGTACACAGTAGGGGAAAAATTCCATACTTACCGATCGCACAATGTAAAATCTAAAGGAAAAAAAGAAGAAAAAAAAGGAGCATTAGTAAATATCAATAATACTATAGTTTTATTCATTAACTAGCCTTTCTGTAAGGTTAGAGTGGTGTTTGCCAGCGGTATTGAGTTTGAAAAACTAACATTCCATTTTAAAAACTGGCTACGGGCTATTTCACAAAATATAAATTCTTGGTTTTTTTGGTTTGTTTTTGTTTTTTCATCTCAGTTTGTGTGTCTGTAGATTTCCTAAGGATTAAAGCTCATCAGGTAGTTGATCAGACACGAAGGCTATCTTTTTTAAATACATAAACCTGTAAGAGCAATCAGTATACAGCATGTCCCAACGTTCCACGTTCTACAGCACTGTCACAGACTATGGGGTGAGGCTGAGAAGAGACTTTGTTGGCTCTTCTTGCCTGATAGCCCCTTCAACGCAGAAATTCCTTGTGCAAACTCCACCCTTTGTCCCCATCTTGTCTTATTCTACGATCTCACTAAGGGGTGTTCCCTGGTCTAATCTCTAACCCTAGATCTCTTTGAGCTCTAGGCTCAGACTCCAAATCGCCTTTGGACAGCTCTGTCTAGTTGTACCAGCAGCCACTTGAACATGGCATGTCTGAACAGGACACATACCACCTTTCCTTCCTTCATTCCTGCTACGCCTCCTGATCACCAAACTCCCAGTCTCTTGGGTTCTTCCCTTCTCCTCACCCCTAAGTCCAACTGGTTTCTAAGTCCAGCCAAAGCTTCTGGCATCTGTCTTCCCCATTTTTATCTCCACTGCCTTGTTTGAGACTGCCATCTCCTCTCCAATGGGAGGTCTCAATAGCCAGTCAACTGGCCAACTAGGTTCTTCTAAATCCCCTTCCAACCCATCCTTCACACAGCATTGCTTTAACACTGGTGGTGGGTAAAAAAAAAAAAAAAGTAATAAAAGTAATTTGAAGTCATCTACAAGATTGATTTAATGACCAAACCTAGATGATAATGACCAAATCTAGATGATAAGACCTAACAGATATCATAGTGCATTTTAGAACTTAAAACATTTCTCTAGCAGTCACTGTGTTGTTTGGTCCTAACAATAACCCTGGCAAATAGGGTTGATATTATCTCTACTTGCAGATGAAGAAACCAAGGCTCAGAGAACCTGCTCAACTTGCCCAAGACAGTAAGGGGCAGTAAAGATCAAGAACCTGGGTTTTATTTCTAGTCCACTGATTTTTCTATCATTATTATTTCATTGTACATTACTTACCACATATGTACAGAGGCCAGAACTTGACAAGATTTAGCTTATCTAAAACATGCCTAATAAGATTTTGTACTTAAAAACTATTTCACTGTCTTATTTGGCAGTGGGGGCGGGGGGAGCTTTGGATGAAAAACTAAGCTTTGCAAATTTATCCCTAACTGATAAAAGAGAAGAAAAGAATCATCATACTGCAAATCTTAGAATCTTCTTCAAAGGAAAACACAGGTAGAATCTCAAATGTATGAATATTCCAAGATAAACTGAACCTAAAAGGTCTATCTAGATTAAAACAAGGAATGAAGAGCATCCTTTGAGATAAGAAGACAGATGACAGCACCTAGACAGAGAACCTATTCTACCCATGTATGCCTCAAGATATCCAGGTTGCTAATCAACCATAGGACATAGCAGGAAAGGAAATACAGCCTAAGGACAATGGCATTTTCTTTGCATGATAGAACACTAGTTCTCAATCCTATCAGAGCCAACACCCCCTTTTTTATTACACCTATTACATAATGTCTCCTTTACTCTCCTGAAATAAAAAACATAGATGATATAACCTGCCTACATAAAATTAAAAAAATAAAATAACTATAGTGCCCTAACTGATATTTAAAGGAGAAATAAAAGTATTTAAAAATATATTTGTTCTCATATGTAAATGCTTGGGGACATAGTGATATAATGAAGCATTCAAGTGTATGTACCAACTTATGATGAATAAGTTTGAGGTTAAAAATAAGATCAGAAGCCACTATGGACAAGTACAGAAAAGTAAAAGAGCAGACAGAGCTACAGACCAACATTAGAATAAAAAATAGCATTAAGTAATAACTTACCATAAGAAATGGGGTACTAACCTTAACTGAAGCCAGAGGAATATGCCAACGTAAATGACAGTCAAAGTAGAGAAAATGAGGAAATAGGATATTATTGTAAATGAGCTAGATCTTATTTATAAGTGTGGTATCAAAATAATCCTCTAGATTATGTCATGGCACAGGGTGAGGAGACAGTATCACGGAAAACTTATTCCCCTTCTTGAAATCCCACTGAGACGTACAATGAGTGTCTAGTATGTAAAAAGACCTTGGAAACAGAAAATGGATTGGACAAAAACCAACAAGAAAACTCAGAAATGCAAGAGGCAATAAGGCAGTTGTGTAATAGGTAAGGGGTAGATTTAAGATCAAATTGAAAAACTACAGCTAACTGAAAATAAAATTTCAATTTTACAACCTAGATTTCCTTTATCATCACACACACACAATATGAAATATTTAAAATAGATGATATTAAAGAAATCAAATGAGATGCCTGCTTCTCATGTGTCTCCACTAGTTTAGTAAGTCTGAAGAGAAACCTCAAATCTGCTGTTACAGATTTCCAATCAGTTTCATTGCTTTTGCAGTAACCACACTACAAGACTTTTCACCTAAATATGCAAGTTGGAAATGCTACGAGACTTTAACAGAACAGACTGTGCAGAGTGAATAAATGACTCAATTATTTTGAGACTAGATCTTTATTTCACTAAGCTTCCTTCTTCATATCAACTGTGGTAGGCAGAATTCTAAAGATTCCTGTCCTTGGTTATTCAACCAAGCACTAATCTAGGTACTGCTGTGTAGGGATTTTGCAGAGGCAATTAAAGTTCCAAGTCAGTTGATTTTCATATTCAGAGATTATATGGGTGGACCTGACCTGACCAGGAGAGCCTTCTCCTGTTGGCAGAGGGGAAGTCAGAGAAATTTGAAAAAGGAGGAATTGCTGAATTTGAAGATAGAGGGGCCACATGCAAGGAGTGGCGAGCAGCCTCTAGGAGCTGACAGCTGGCAAGGCAACAGGGACCTCAGATCTACAACCACAAGGAAACAGATTCTGCCAATAAGCGGAGCTTGGAAGAGGGTCCTTCCCCAGAATCTCCAAATAAAAGTACAGCTCAGATGACAACTTGATTTTGGTCTTGTGAGACCTCCAGCAGGAAAGCAGCTGAGCCCAGTTTCTGACCTACAGAACTATGAGTTAATCAATTAGTGCTGTTTTAAGCTGCTAAATTTGTGGTATTGTTATGCCAAAATAGAAAACTATACACCAAACTTCTCTTAATATGTTTTTCATTTAACTTCTCATTTAGATTTTTTTCGGTATTAATATGTACTACAAAACTACCAATTTATCTTTGTAGAGGGATTAGCCTTGGGGGATAGACAAAAGTCCTGGGAGGTACAGAACAAATCTTCATTCAGTGGGACTGTCTCAGAATTGCAGGACATCTAGCCAGTAGCACCCCCATTCTTTATGGCAATCAAAATACCCTTATTATTTTCTAAAATGCAGTCCGGGGTGGTGGTGGTACTGCCCTAGTTGAGATCCACTGAGAATCACTATACTAGAATAAGAACACCTTATTGAAAAACTGTAGAGGGCTTGCCATATTCAAAATCTCTCTCGGAAAATATGTGTCATCTACTTCTCTCTTGAGCCCTTTCCATTTCCACCTACTGGCAATAAACTGATTTTATTTTTAAAAATTTAACCTCAATGTTGAATATCATTGTGTACAATAGATTACTTGGAAACATCTTTTCTGAAAAAAATTTCTAAGATTTGCGCCAAGGGAGTTGTTTTTCTAAGTTAACCAACAAATCTGTTCAGTTCCTAAGTCTCAAAAGCAATAAGAAGGAACCCAAGCAGCACTGAAGACTTCAACTGTAGTTCATGGGTTTAACATGAGTTGGTCATATATAGCGACCCCCAATGTCTTTCAGTTCAAAATTCCAAATTCTTAGGAGAAAAAGAAACCTGACTGGCCCAGTTTGGGTCAGGTGTGTACTCCCTTGGGTCAACCAGCTATGGCCTGAGAGGCAAGAGTCAAAAAGAAGAGATGTAGCTGCTATGGGTCCGGTCTTGAGAACCAGGAAAACATCAAGAGAGGATAAAATCACCTGAGCTGCACAATTCCACAAGACATGTCTACTACGCTCATTTTTGTTGTGTAGAGGTCCATAACTAAACTGAGTTATGTTTACCAGTATTTGATTAGTTTTGGGAATTATACTATATGTATATATGATCCCAGTTTTTGTTAAAACCTACCTACCTGACATGTAGTCTTGAAGGACAGACACCAAAATGTTCAGAGTGGTTACCTTTAGGTAGTGAGCTTATGATAGATATGCACTTTATTCTTTATGCTTATCTGGTTTTCTTTCCCCCTACAATGAATACAACTTATTACTGGAGGGGAATACCTTCTCCCTCTCCTCTCCTTTCTATGAAGAGGGGTTTCTCCCAAATATTTCTGGTCTCTCTCCACTCTTTAATCACTTTATCTCGGGGAAGGTAGAATGACTTATCTGAATGGTAAATCTGGGAAGAAAAAATACGGCATACTCTACAAAGAACCCCTAGTTCCCCTGGGTTCCTGCATGTCACCCTGGCCATCACTGCCTAGGGCATGGTACATGGGTGGGTCTACTTCTAGAGTTTAGCTAGCAAACCCACTTGGCTCCAACACTAAAGCATGTCCTTCAACTTACCTTTTATCACTAATAAAGGTGAACTTTAGAATCCACATGCAACTCTTTTGAGCTATTTCTCAATGTTGGGAGCATATGCAAGAGGCAAAGTGCTATTTACTGGGCCCTCTCAGAGACTCCAAAATCACTTTCAAAGTCCTTTTACATCCATTTTTAAAGGAGGAAATAGGTAAAATTTCCTTAATTCCATTAATTTCTCTCCTTGTCACTT